TTTGTGGAATAACGTTTTAGCTTATTGGTTGTTTTATCATGGCAATAATTGGTTGAACATGTAGCTGGGTCACAGCTCCCTGCCCACTTGCAGCCCCATCCTGTCCACCTCGCCATGTGCCCTGCCCACATGGGTCCCTGCTGATCTCCATGGAGATCCCGGGATCATTGGGCAATAACAGCATGGAACTAAGGCCCAAGGCAGAGCCGCAGTCTGCTCCCTGCATGCCCCTGCCTGCAGAACCAGCTCCCATTGCAGGGATGTGCAGGCAGAAGATCATGGTGCTACCCCAGACCCCGGCCCTACACTGGCACTGCCCCACAATCCCAGCCTCAGCCCCACCCACCCATCCTGCTCCTTGATGATGCTCCCCTCCCACCCATGGCCCCAGCTGGGTGTGGAGCAGAGCCACATAGGGAGTTTTGGTTAGCTGTTGCATGGCAGGGAGGGTGGCCCAGCCTGCAACAGCTCAACAACACTCCCTATGTGGCCCGTGGGCCCAAATAATTGCCCACCCCTGAAATATATGCTGATTGGGATACCACTTCTACAAAATAAATGACCAGTAGTTTTTGCATCAAGGTCACTAGCAGCAGTAGACCAAATATATGTCCAAGTTGAAAAGAAATATCTTTTTTTTCACATGTGAAAAGTTCAGCTATTATGTTCAAGGATGAGAAATGTTTGAGTAGGAACCTACTAGAGAACAAAACAATTTCCACACCAGCTACTGAAACAGCAGGGCTAGGCACTTAGATGTGCAATTCAAGAAAGGAATTGAATTGTATGGGGATGACTTCTTATTCACAAGAACTCTGCAGCATAATCTTACAGCAACTGAGAAACAAAATGAGACATTTAACCTGATAGAACTATAGAAACACAAAAAGCACCATCCAAGTCAGTTCCCAGGCAGGTGTTAAAATATTTGAGAACAAGTAATACAAGACAAAGATTTGCAGGGTTTATGTCTTGCATTACCACAGTCAGAATCCTGGGGAAAAGTCCCACATGCCTATAGAGAATATTGGGCCTATCAAGATGAACCGAATATATAAAAAACGGTCATATGTAAGGGCAGTCTAATTACCATGTCCAGATCATAGAAAACAGATATTCTCTTAAGAATATGCTGAAGCCATTCTGAAGTAAAAGCCTATCTCCAGAAAGCCACAGACATCTGTACTAGGCTCATATGAACAAGAACACTGCAATACATGTGGAGCAGTATAGGACAAGCAGCAAAAAATGAGAGTGGAGATGCACTGCATCCCATATGGATCTTGGAGCAAAAGAAAATATGACTTTTTGACTATATGCCACACCAGCTTCCTCATTGTTGGTAGCTACCATTTAGACTTCTGAGAACAAAATGGACTGAACACTTTGCAACCAGCCCAAATAAGGCAACAACATTTTCTGGTGTATATGATTAGAATTGTGAAGTTTTAGGCAATATGCCCCAGCTAATATGCAACTTACCTGGGAATGGGAACTCATCATATCATGCTATCATCATATCACAGCTAGTCAAAAGGAAAAACTGAAATGGCAGTTTAAATTATTAAAACTGTTATGGAAATAGGCAAAAAGCAAATAAAATATATGGCATATCATTCTTCAATGAAGAAACTCTCCCACAAAAGCACTGATAGTAGCTTAGCACAGTTCTTGATGACAAGAAACAGGCCTACCTTGAGACCTATAGCTCAGCATTACTGAAACCAGCAGCAATGGAAGAGTGACAAACATCCAAAGGGCAAAGTCTAAAATGACTGACAAGCTAAAGATCTCCCAAAAATATAACTGGGAAAACCCATCAGGATCAAGCTATTTCTTCAGGGAAATCAGGCATTTGTAAGCAAGAACAAACCACAGATATTAAGAGATTTTATTAGCAGGACATGGAAGGAAAACAAGGAGCAACAAATCTTGGCACAGATTCTCAAAACACTACCCCAACAGAAGAACAAGTGCAAGGCAATCTCCTGTCATCACAAGAAACACTTGAACTTGCTTCAGTATCAAATCTTGTGCAAGGTATAAACAAGACTTGTATGCTACTTAGGCAGAAAAGAATAACTTTCCAAACCCAAATCCTGAATGTTCTCCCATACCACATGCCCCCAAGTAGGACAGGTTTACTGCTAAGGCAGAATGCAGAAAAAAGAGATTTTTCCAGAGTTGTGGCCTAGAGCTGACTTTTTCATGGAGGGGCTATGTTGCAAAATGGCCACTAGCTTCTCTCTCAGACAGCAAAATAATTTAAACTGGACTCCACACCTCCTGCTTAGTGGCTGAGAGAGAAGCTGGCAGACATTTTGTAATACAGGGCACATCTACACGAGGCGCTGACTGTGCGGTAGCCAAAAAATACTATGCAGTAGCGCATCATAGAGCAGACAGTGCTAATACACTACTGAGCAGTAACTCCAGTAATGACTGCACAGTAGCATCTCATGTAAATGCACCGACAGTGTCTTCATGCTTCTACCCCAGTGGGAAAAAAAATCTGTTTTCCCTTTTAAGTCATACACTCCAATTTTGGAGAGCTGATTTTTGGGGGAAGAGTGTATGTGGTGTACAAGTAAATATGGTAACTTCATGACTTAAGAGTTAGTTAATTTTTAAAAAGAGGTCTGTTTTATAAACTTTAGGAGGGTATACAGAATGTTAAGTGTGTAAGCAAGAAGTTATGCTATTCCTGTTTAATCTTAATTGTGAAATTAAATGTATCAAAAGATAGGAACTATACTTGATCTGAGCCAGAGCCCGAGAAGTGATTATCACAAATAACTTTCCAATAGAGGATGCTATCATTTGACTATGCATAGAAATATGAAGAACTCGACTTTCAGGCAGTGCTTGATGAAGGAGGGCATTACACTTGGAGGAAGGAATGCAGTCTGAATGACACTCATCACAGTTCTGTCTCTCTTGCTCATGCAAAGAACAATGAGGTCCCCGAAAGAAGACACAGGAAGAGAGGACTTGGATTAGTTTGAGTCATGAGCCTTCGAAACGAATTTTGTAGCATTCCTGAAATCATGCCACCTGTTTCCTCATATAGATACATAAGGTTCAATACCAAAATATATGCAAAGCACCCAAGACACTAGCCATGTACTGAGGGTTCCCAGGGCCCAGACTGCCCTGAACCATGAAATTTCTGCTTTTGCTGTGGGAGGACAGCACACCACATTCAGAGATTAATATATTTGTTGGGGGAAGGGAATTACCCCTCCCTCACAAGCTGGACAATTTGAGAGAGAGAGACTGGGAAGATCAGACTGAATGCGGTAGTGGCAAAAGGCAGGTGCTATGTGAGCGCACTGGCCCCTGAAAACTAACGGGCTTTTTAGATAGTGTTGCCTGGCCTCCTTCCTTTGGCCACCCCTCATGTTATGCTATGTTGAGTAAAAATGACAGATCTGTATGCAGTGGAATGTATAAGTTAGAGAGAATAGCTGGCCGTATGTATTGTGGTTTGTCTAAGTGAATGTTGTATCCATTTGGCACAAACACTGTGATGTGTAATTCAGCACCAGTCAGTGCCCATGTAAAGGGCCACTGACTGCACCTGAGAACAGATAAAAGTTGTCATCAACTGCAAGATGACACCAAGGAGGCAATAAGGAAGACTGATGATAGTGCTGACATGAGTGTCTTCTTCACAGCGCAGTAAAACAATACAGGAAAAAGAGAAGATCTTATGAACATTCTCAGTAACATCTTACATCCATGCGTTCCTCTGGCTGGCTATTGTGTTTCATCGCACTTTGGCACCTGAACAAAAAGTCCCAGTAGTCAAGCTCTACAAAAAGATACACTGATTTTCCAAAGCATTGTTTTGCAATGTTACATGGTGTTCTCTGAAATATGATCCTCTTGTGAAAAGCATTCCAGGACTCCATATTTTTTTCATCTGCCTTATGGCAGAAGTAATATTAAAGAAAAATATGTGAGATTTCTTACGGTTATGATTTTCAATAGGCTATGTCCAAATAGTGAAACTCAAATTGCATTGAATTAGCCTAGTACCTACAGTAAATACAGTAATTGCCTTTATACCAAATCTCAGCCAGCATTAGATACTTCAGAGAAAGCTCCAAGAAACCCCTTAATCCTTTGAATTTCAGAAATGATTTTCTACCCTGAAATATGAGCTTTAACACCTTTTCAAATATTTATTAGAATCTCTTACATGTTTTGCTGCTGACTATTATAATTCTAAATATGCTTGCCACAATGCAAACCTTCAGAGAAAAAATAGTATGGTTAAAAAAAAAAAAGAAGGGGGAGGAGAAGGAGGAGGGAAACTAGATTATTTGGACTATTACAGTTATCTAAAACATTATTATGCTGAAAAATCACAACTTTGGGAACTTGAAGCCAGGCTGTTATCATTATGTTTGACAGAGAATTATTGACATGGGAGGATCTGACTTTACTGATTCCATGACTGGCTAAAGTATTTTTGGGTAGTGGGCATCCAGTGGAGAGGCACGATCATGGCAGACAAATAGAACATTGGCCAAAAGTGTCTATGATGTTTCTCTATCCATGTTAAGTTTTATTCAGGAGACCATCTGGATACAAAAGGCCAAATGCTATGAACTCCACTCCACCCACTTTGAATGCCAACTGGAGAGGGTCTGAGCCCACATTGAATTAATCTAATATTTAACTAAATTGGCTTAGTCTATTGACACCCCTTCATCACACACAAAGTCTGTCTGTCAGAAAAAATTAAGGAAATCTGGCATATTTTCTATGAGGTACAGTATGAGCTGGAAGTCCCATATCCCTTTCTTACAATGCTTCAAACTAGCCAGTTTATAGGGTACCTTTCAAGTTTTCTTACATGTCCTTGGCTGTGAATAGCTAAGTTCTAATTGGATAGCAGCCAAAGCTCATTAGCATATGGTATCTTATCATGCAATAGGGTAGAGCTACTAAGACTTAGGAAGTGAGTGTAGTCTGAGAGCTCTGTCCTCAAAGAATTTTGGCGTTCAGATACACTACATCAGTTTCATCCACCTACCAAGTCAAGGAGGTAAGGTATGTCATAGAAATACTAACTGTTAGTTAACTAAGAGGATTGCTGAAGACAGGGTACAAAATTATTTACCGTAAAGTTTGGATATCTTAAAACTAATGTACTTCACTAAAAAAAAAAAAGAACAAATAGCAATTGAATTTTTTTTAAAAGCCAGAGCATAATTTAATTATTACAGGAAGTTTTGCAAGCATTCAATCCATACCAACCTGTAGCTGTGCAAATATGTTTCACTGCAACTTTGTCTTTTAGGTTGTGTTACTTAAAATCATTTTTCTTTCACTGAACTTTGAAGTAATATTTAATTATATTTTACTCTTTGGCCAAGCAAGATAAAAGAGATATACTCCACTGCAAATTGTTATAGTTTCTTTCACTTTCCAAACCAGCTCATTTTAAAACAATGGGACTATCTGTCTGAATCATGTAACAAGTCGTAATAATATCCAAGGGCAAGAAATATTCAAGGATAGTTGTTTAGCAATTTCAATTCTGTTTTCTCCTGTTACCGTCATTTTAGGGTGTCTCTTCTAATATTATTGTCCCTCTCTTCAGTGCTGAGTATATTGGCCCTTGGTGTAATAAGAGTGTAATATGAGAATATACAAAGACCTGATGTCTTCTACAGCCTTTTGTAACTTCTCTGTAGAAAAGCTATCTTTCCTTACACAAGATCATGCTAGTAACATCATTTCTGAAACAGTAATGACTTAGTTGCCTAGTAAAAATTAATTTGCCCATGCAAATCTGAAAGCAATTAATGTTAACTACCATTTGTCATTTTTAATGCACTTTAGAGTGAATGCCAGCACTTTTCAATATCTTACTATTTTACCATTGATATAATCAGATTTACCTGTTGGGGTAGTAGTGCTTTGACTATATTTTTCATAGCACCTTATAGCAAAGAATCTCAAAGCACTTTGTGTCAGGTACCCAGGTTGTCAGGTATTTAGGTAACCAGAACTTTTACAATCTTTTCTCCTGCACCTGAAGAAGGGTGCTTGCGCCTGAAAGTTTGCAATATTTTTTTTTTGCAAAAATCTAGTTGGTCCCATAAAAGATATCACCTCTACCATGAGTTCTGATTCCAAAGTGCTTTGTAAGCATTCAGAAACTAACCCTCATGATACCGATCAAAGATGTGATTGTTAAGGTGATCACCATTTTTAGATGGGTAAAGCAAGACACACAGAAGCTAGGATTTTTTTTCCCTGGATTTTATATTGACTCACTTGCAGAGCCAAGGCTAGCGATAAGAAAATGAGTCCCAATACCCTATTCTAACTACTACGGAACATTGCCTAATATAAATTTAATATAATCATATATGAACTGCATGAAAGAGCAAAAAATCAAATAAACTTTGTTTCCTATCTCTCTATACAACATGGGATCCTGATTTGGGGTAAATTGGTGTAACGCCATTAAAATCAATCAAGCTATTTCAGTTTATACCAGCTGAGGATCTGGCTGATCATTCTCAGATTTACTTCTCTCTCCAAAATAATGGTCTCCCAAGGAAAGGCATGTGTGTAGTTGCTGATGATGTAGTATTATACTTTGCTGGTACAGAAATGCTGCCGGAAAAGCAGTATACAAATACACAATCCAGGAGATACACTTATTTTTGGTGAAAAGGCCTTTTTTATCCTGCAAGCTGAAATAGAAAAATGCATGAAGCCTGTGTAGTTCTGCCCCTTTTTGTACATTTCCCATCCCTTATATAATCAATAAGCTCTCAGAGCTGCAAGCTATTTTCAGAATGACTGAGAATCATTTCAGTGTAAATGATACAGCAGTCACCTATTGCACCTCACCTTTGTAATGTATAGTATGTGAAAAATCTAGTGCATAAGCAACAACAGAAAAGAGCCCTTAAAAAGTGCTGAGCTCTTCAGCTATATAACTGCTGGAAATATTGGGCTTGATTCTGATCTCATTTACAAAGAGTAGATCAACTGAGTTAAAAGTAATATAAATCTGGTATCAGAGAAGAATGAGCAAAGCAAAACAGTTGATAAACTCCCAGCCTACTTTCTGTTAATGATGCCACCATAAGATCACATTTTATCTCTAAGCTATATTTTCCATTGCTTTGGCTGCTTGCAAAACTTAAAATGGAACAAGTTTTTCTAGCATCAGAACACTGATTTTATCTTTAATAGGCAGTCTCTCTCTAATTTACCTTCAGGAAACAGCTTCCTGGTTGCAAACTGCTTGAGAGGGTGACAGCTAGGCAACTTCAAAAGCAGCTACAATAGCTTTTCTTGTTAAGTTTCAGGGGGAATTCAGAAATGCTGAAAGTGCCAGATGACATTGTCATGGAACAGGAGGACTCTGCTTCTCAAAATGGAGAAACAACAAGTTGGGATATCAATGACGTCAAACTTCCCCAGGTACGTGTGCGTTTTAGAAAATCTTTTATTTACAAATTCATCCAGTTATGGTCTTTCTGAGATACCTTGTAAATCATCCATATATCTTTTCTCTTCACTGCTTTTCTAGGAAGCATGTTCTAGAGCATTCCATCAACGTGAGCTATACACGTAAAAAAGCTGAAATATTTGCCAAAACTTTTACGCTCGGAGACATTTTCCCTTTGGAAGAGATACATATTATAAGGAAGAGTAAAAATGTAGATTTACTAGCTTTCTAGACCACTGAATGGGCAGAGTTACTATTTACTATTTTGTTTTATGCTTATTTTACAGTATGAATCCCCATGCTTTGTGTACTTCATATTATTCTAAATAGAGAAATACTCATTTCATTGCAGGCTTAGGACCATAGTACTTAAGTGCTATCTAAACAAGGAATTTCTTTTTGTGGCACTCCTGTGAGATGAAGAGGCATTGTTATCCTCACTTTACAGATGATAAGGCACAGAAAGATTGAGATCAAATGTGTCCAATAATTGTAGGTACCAAATTGAGATACCCAACATTTGATTTTTTCTGAGTACTTAGCATATATAGCATGTTCTATATTCAAAGCAGAGCATTCCTTAACTTCAGCTGCATCTTCTACAATCAAAGCCCATGGTGTCAAGTTGGGCACACAAATAACAAACAACACACAGTTAGTGGCTACCCATAAACAGTTTGGCTTACACGGTTGGGAACTCTGCTTCACAGATATTTGCTGAGAAATAATGACCTCCTCAGCTCTTATCCAAGTCCCCAGTCTCCTGGCCAAGAAAATCACCTCTCCTGGTTCCCCAGTCTTCCCCAGCCGCAGTTTCAGGTTCTAGGATCTTGCGCTCTGACCTACCTGCAAGGGTCCTTGTCCCATTCTTGGCCCACCAACCTTGTCCTTCACCTCTCAGCCCCTGGCTGCTCATCTCAGTTTGCAACTCCCCAAAGTCCAGCTCTTATTCCCAGTCCACATCCTGTATCCAGACTTCTTGCCCAAAGAATCCTGGTTCTAGTCCGCCCCAAACCCTTCCCTTCTCCAAGCTTAACTGTGGTTGCATCTGCCTTCAAATCAGAAGGCTTCCTTCTCCTTTCAACCTAGGTACCAGCCAGTGGAGCACTGAAAGAACAAAAAAAAAGTCCCTCTGCCCTGAGTTCTTGACTTCACTGTCACCATAGCCTCAGGTAGTTTGGATCAGCAAGTCCTGCCCTTCTATCCCCATTTCCACCAGTTTTTCACCCCACACAAAAGCAACAGAGGGTCTGTAAGCTCCTTTTAGCCCACTGATATTTTCCTCTTGCACAGCTCGTAAGCCATGAGGTGATATCTAACAAATGACTTCTTAAAATGTCCTTCTTTTCATGTGTTTTTTTCCTGTTCTTTACCAAATAGACTTTTTGCTCAGTCTGTAACATGAAGCCAGACCAAGATGTCCTATATTTTTCATTTTAAAAAGACTGATGTTAGCATTACAAAGAATAGCCTAAACAAAACACCGGAATCTGAAGCCCCACAAATGTTGGGGAAGTTTGAATCTATCAGTGCTTACCCTGCAGCTCATGAAACTGAGCCAAACCACATGCTTGGGTACAATTCCAAATGTTATAGAGAGATCTTAAGAACAATGAATAAGGACTTCTGTCATGAATCCTAAGGAAATAAACCAGTTAAAAATTGCAAGATATGAGGACTTTATAAAGTAGATTCAAAGGGCTGATCTGCACTGGATTGTACGTTGGAACAAGGCCAAAGGCCAATAGCATGTTCTGGCACCTGGAGGGGTCCACTGGAGCACTGAGAAACTACAGGCACCTCCCTTTCCCCAGTCATCCCCAAGCCTACGCTGGCAACTCTTACTATAACCCATTGACCTTTATGTAGGGCCTTGTTATACCGCCACAGTGACAAACTTCAGCAGAGGGTCTTATGTTCTCCAACTGGGAAACGGTTTTATTTCCTAGCCTAAAATGTGGCATTCTTTGGGTTCTTAACAGGATGTGAAACAAAGAGATTGGTTTCAAGAATGGCCAGATTCCTATGTAAAGCATATCTATAGCTCGGATGATAAAAATGCTCAGCGGCACCACAGTAGTTGGGCAATGAGAAACACCAACAATCACAACTCCCGTATCTTAAAAAAGTCCTGTCTCGGTGTGGTGGTTTGCAGCAATGAATGCTCAACTCCTGATGGGAGGAAGATCTATTTGAGACCAGCCATATGTGATAAAGCTAGGCAAAAACAGCAGAGTAAGTATGACGCTGTGGAGATAGCAACACCTCTGTTATTAATATACTAGTTAATAAATTAATACAATCGAAACCAGAGGAGAAAGAGACCTGTTAGATCTTTTGACACCCCTTCTCAACCTTATACTGTGTTATTAAGTACAATTTCAATATTTTGAAAAATATTGTTTTTTGTTTTGTTTCCTTCTTGTTTCCTGCTGCAGTTTTCTTGACTGGTTGCTATGTACTTCCTACCATGTTCTAACTATGCCCTAATTTCCAGCCTGATGCAACTGAGTACTTACTTTATTCATTTGCATAGGAATCCCACTTCCATGGGAAATTCTTTTTTACTTAAAGGCCACCTCTAAAGGAAAAGAACTGGGCTTTTGACTTTTCTCCCTTCGTTCTTGAAATTAGTGAAAAAGTAACATCACAAAAAACAAGAGATCAGAAGTTTAATAATTGATGAGGGAAATCATTTTTAGTTAAGATGGTTTAACGCTCTTTTTGATTGTTTGGCTTGTTAGCCACTCAGTGACTAATAAACATAAAGGAAGCTTTTGTTACAGCCTTCAGTTAAACTGTTGGATGTGATTTAATTTCTGATTTGATTCCAGCAAAACCAGAAAAGATGTAATATTCCTGATACATCTTACTTAAAAAAAAATGACAAAATACCCTTGAAGATTAAAGCCTTTCTTTATATGTCAGTAAAAACCAAAAAGGATAAATATACAAGTCTTAGTAATGGTATCTGCAGGTCACCTTTAACAGGAGAAAGATAAGAATTAGTCAGTGCCGATGTGTGAAGGTTTTCTGCACAGTTCTACAAACTAAGCTTCTGAGCCCCCAAGCACAAAAAAAATAGCAATCCACCCCAGGGAGTTAATGTCACAGAAAACATTCCTCTGACTGCTGGATAAGAAAATGTTTCTCACTGCCCTTGTTCTAGGGAAATGCTGTCCAAACTGCAATGGGCCTTTGAAGCTTATTTCTTGTCGAGGTCATGGTGGTTATCCTGTCACTAACTTCTGGAGGCATGAAGGACCATTCATATTTTTTCAGGTTAGTAGAACACTCAGTTTTATCTAAGGTGAGTTCAAAAGATACTTTATCAGATCATCTAAAATCATGCATTTGTTTCAGCTAACAACATTTGCTACTATGTTCATTATACTTTTTCGTAAAGGGCCTATTGCAAAGATCATCAAAATGAATGGGTTTCTGTAAACTCCCATGGACTGTGAGGGACTTTGGACAAGGCCCTAATAAGCTATAGAGCACAAGCTGAACTTGAAAACCCTTGCAGGGTCAGAAATGGTTTGTTACTGTCACATGTTTCTCAGGAACACCATCTAGGAAGGGGGATTGCTTAGAGCAGTAAGTGGTTGTATCTAAAAGTCTATGATAGCTCACAATACTGGATTAAGCATTAATACACCTCAAACATTTAGTTAATGATCCCGATCCTTGTTGAGTTGAAGAGCTTGTTTTTAAAGCTTTGCTCTGACCATTTAGAAAATGTACAGGATTTTCTTCTAAGTCCTTATGACAGTGGAGCATCCCGCAATCTTTAAAGTACCCTTGTGAGGGAGCAAAGTATTATTAGCTTAGTTCCCCATCTGTAAACTGGGGATATCTCAAAGGTACTTGTATACCTAAAAATCAAAGTGAAACCGCTACCCAAGCCAAGGCCTATTGGGATAGTATGATTAAGGTACGCAAGTTTCTGTAGCCAACAGCTCAAAAGGAGGGTAGAAGGAAATAAGGAATAATAATGTCATAATTGATCATACTATATATTTCTTGTTCTGAAAGATAGGCATGTCTTCACTACAGTAAAGAGCTAATAGAACTGGCCACTCTTGTATAGTACAGACAAAGCCCACTCTTTGACTGTGACCAGCTGCAAATCTAGTCTGCAAGCCTACTGTCTATTGAGGAGAGCCTGCTCTATATGTAAACACTGTGCAAAGATTTTGGGAATTCAGAAAACGTTCACCAGCAACAGATCACCCCACTAATTTTTACCTGTGACTTACGCTGAACGTAAATACGTTTCATGAGGTAAAATCCACTGGGTCACCCAACCCATGTCAGGATTTTATGCACATACCATGGACCCTATACACTACAGGTACTACTTAAGCTCTGTTTTTATCTTCATTTTTCATGTTCCTTGCTAAAGTCCAAAGGAGCACATGATCATCCAAGACCAGAAACCAAGCTAGAAGCAGAAGCAAGAAGATCACTCCAAAAAGCACTTACAGTTGTTTCCCCCACTTCTCCAAGACTAAAAAAAATTCGGGAGCCTGAGGTAACCTTTACTATTGATACATGCAACATGCAGCACCTGCTCATCCCTTTCCTATGTACCTGTTCCCTGGGCTTCCTGAACCTCAGTTCTGGGAGTAAGCAAGCTCCACACCCCTATTTCTATCCTCCCAGGAGCAGACAAATGTAAACTGAGCAGAGCCTTGGATGCACCACCTGGACTCTGATCAGCTTAACTGAGCAACGTGCAGTTTACCTTGGATACCCACCAACAGCAAATTCGACCGTGGCACAAGAGTGGGAATTGTGCCTCTGCCTCTCAAAAGCTGCTCCTTTCCTTGATTGCCCCTGGAGGCATGCAGTTATGGCATTGTAACACAACCATAGTCCATAGCCTATGGCATTTATTAATTATAAAGAATAATATAAGGAGAATGACAGTAAAGGCTTGACTTTTGAAAGTATAACCCAGATAAATTAATATTCTTGCCCAATTTTAAAGAGATCTTTAGAGGTTCATGAACGCACTACATTTCCTATTCCAGCAAGCACAAATTGTGTTGCAGTTGTCATTGTAAAGCTCTATCTGTAAAGTTTATATCAAATATACAAAGACCTGATGTTTTTTATGCAAAGTATGTCTCAGTTCAGAAGTCCTCTCTCAAAAACATGCCTGTTGGTTCCTTATTGATGTTTGTCAAGATCTTAATCTGTTTACAATGAAACATGACAAGTGAGTGATCTTGTATCTGGTGTGATCAATGTTGATATTTTAAGATGGTAGGCTTAATGGCGCTGCCCCTTTTGTTAGGCATTAATTATCAAGCATAGGTTGTTTTACTCATGCAGAAAAAAAAAAAGGCCCAGAAATGAATGTTTGAAACTGGCAGTAACTTAATTGAGCAAACCTTGGACAAGCACTAGTCTAAATACAGAAGACCTCAATCTTTTTCCCTAATTTTAAACACTGTATTTGAAGATCAAAATTATTCCCAGTAAAAAAAGGAGAGAATACATAGTGCTATGGCAGCTAGCATCTGATGCAAGAACCAGGGGATGCAAGCTTTTAAGAAATCAGTTGTATGTCTACACTGCAGTCACAGCAATGTAGAGTTGTCATACCTGTTCTAACTTTAAACGGGCTTTGGTATTCAGTAGCAGCCTAGCCATGGAGCTCAGTGAGTGTGGCAAAACCCACCCAAGAAGCAGGATAAATTGGCTTGCAATGCAAATATACCACCAACAATCCACTGTTTAAAAACTTAAGAGATCTATTTAGACTGGAAAGTCTCATGTTGGTGATTTAATCCTATTATAATTTGTGCAGGTGCATTTTGCACACTTTGCTCCAAAGTAACCACATAGAAGTGGGTCCCATTTGCTGTATTTCCCATGTGCCTGAACCTGCTAACTCAGGCCAAACTCACTTTGTCCACTTCTTGAGTCTTATTAAAGTCCATGTCAGTTTTGATGTCAAGCTCAGTACAAGCTCTTCAGGCCAGTTCTTCACCTGGTTTAAATGGGTGTAGCAGCCCCTTTGATTTGGAGTTGCACCAATTTACCTCAGCTAAGAATTTTGCTCTTTATTTATCTGAAGCAAATATGCTTCTGCTGTCCATTCCTCCCTTGATATAACACTCTGTTGTACGATGATAATTCCTGTAACAACCACCTGTCACATCACAAACTAAGGATTTTGACTGAAGATGAGGAATCTGATACTTAATCTGATAAAAATGTCTAAAAGAGATTATATTTTAAAGCTGTTATAATGTACCATGAAGGAGAACTATAGAATATATATGATTGCTTAAAAGTGCTCTATATAGTTTTAAAAAATTTATAAACTTTCAAAAGATATCATTTTACAAAATGTATATGTATATGTACACATGCATGCATGCATTGATACATATGAGAGACAGAGCATGTTTTTAAAAATTGCCCATGTAATATCATTTGTTCTTTGACTAAGGAAGGACAGTGATCTAGTGACAATACAGGAGACTTAATTTTTTCAAAGAAAGTCTCCACAGATCTGAAGGTGGAAGGTATGGCAGGCTGGCACCTCACCAACTAGCTAGTTTAAAGAGACGTGCACTTCTGTAGGCAACAGTCTAATCCATCAGATGCTATGAAAGGACTTTTCAGAATATCTAAAGACACTATTCTACTCCTGGATCCAACAAGTCATAAAGTTGCTATAATTACAGGCATACAGCAGTAAAATGTGAAAGAAAAGCCTGTAAGGACAAATCACTAGTGTATATAAAGAGTAAATGTACCACAAGGAATTAAGCTTCATAAAATTATAATCCAATAATTAGAGTTGTTAAAGAGATTGCAAATTATGCCTAGCCAAGTAATTTCAGCACACTGCTCTTCCATCAAATGAAATGTGTATGTAAAGCTCAGGATTTTACAGAGAGGAAAATAAGTCAGTTAAAAATAAGAAGGAAGATTGTTATAAAGGTGTAAGGAATAGCCCTTTTATTAGGCTGAAAAGGTCCATTTAAAAGGTAACAACAATTTAATTAGAAAAACTTCCTATTCAATTTTACCAAATTCTGTAGAAACAAGTTAATTAGACTGCAATAAATTTATTAGAAGAGCAATTTTATTTGTAAGTATTGCTTTTCTATAGGCTGATCCATAAATAAATATCCCCTTTCCTGGGCATGTCTCCTAACCACAGAGCTGTACACTCAATCTTCTCTCTCTCTCCACTGTTTGGTAGAACAAATGTTAGTTCAAAGGAAAAGAACAGATTTAGATGGGGTTCTTGACTTTTCCAATTGAAGTTTTGTATTGTACTATTGTACTAATGTTCTATTTTACTAATAAATAGTTACTTATATACAACTTCAGGAGGAGAGACCAAGAAAGACTTTCCCCTGAATATCCTTATGGCTAGGACACTCTTCTGGGATGGGGGAGATCTTAGTTTAAGTCTATGCCTCAAATCAGCCTGAGCAGAAATTTATAAAATCTTCTCCCAGGTGATTTTCTAACCACTGGGATAGCAAGGGTAGGTTTTGTGTGAGAAAGGGCTGACCTGGATTAGGGGCACAGCTCCAGGAGAAGTTTGATGATGAGAATTTCAGTGTGGGGAAGATGACTGTCTCTGGGCTGGATTTAGGAACTAAATTATGTTTGAGTAGTGGTTCCCTTGAATTATCTTTGAGCAGCCTCTTTGCTGTTTACAAAGTCACAGAAGTTTAGGGCTGGAAGTAACCCCATGAGAGCATCAGGTCCAGCCCCCCTGCTCTGGGCAGGAAAGACTGCTGGGGTCATATAACCCCAGCAAAGTGTGTGCCAGATCTCCTTTTGAAGATCTCCAGGGTAGGTGCCTGCACCACCCCCAAAGTTTGGTCACACGAAACGTGAAGAAGTTTTTCCTTATATCTAGTCTGAAACCTTCTTGTAGGAATTTATGACTATTGCTCTTGGTTTTCCCCAGGGCACTTTGGTGAACTGTTGTTTGCTAGCCCCTGATGCTCATCCCTGATATATTCGTAAGCTGCCACCAAATCCCCCTGAAGTCTTCTCCTTTCTTGGCTGAACAGTCCCATATCTATCAGCCTTTCCTTATATGGCTTGCTCTTCAGGCCTCTAATCATATGAGTGGCTCTTCTCTGGACTCTCTCAAGCTTCTCCACATCCTTCTTGAAGTGTGGTGCCCAGAACTGGATGCAGTACTCCACCAATGCTGCGACCTCACCAATGCTGAGTAGAGTGGGAGAATAATGTCCTTAGTATTGCTTGAGATGCATCGGTTGATGCATGCCAGCATATTGTTTCCTCTGCTAATTGTAGCATTACACTGATGGCTCTCTTCATTTTATGGTCAATTATGACCCCCAGGTCCCTTTCAGATGTGGTGCTAGCTAGCGTAGCACCACTGAGCCTGTAAGTTTGTTGCAGAACTTTTCTCCCCAGATGGAGCACTTGATACTTCTCAGTGTTGAACAGCACCTGGTTCTGGTCTGCCCATCTAACTAATCTGTCTAGGTCCGCCTGGATCGACAGCCTACCCTGATGCATGGCTGCACTTCCCCATGGCTTACTGTCATCAGTGAACTATGCCAGTGTGCTTTTCACCCCTACATCCAAATCATTGGTGAAGATGTTGAAAAGTACTGGTCCAAGTACCGAACCCTGGGGGACCCAACTGGCTACCTTCCACCAGGTCAACACAGATCTGTCTATTAGTAGTCTCTGGGTCTGATGCCACAGCCAGTTTTCCACCCATCTGACCATTGAATTGTTGAGCCCATAGTCCCCTAGTTTTACCTTGAGAGCCTCATGGGACACCAAGTCAAAGGCCTTCCTAAAGTCCAAATAAATGAGGTTGACCCTATCTCCCTTATCCAGGTGGTGAGTAACCTGGTCATAGAAAGAGATGAGATTAGTCAGACATGACTTACCCATGACAAAGCCATTCTGGCTGTTGTTCAGAATGTTGCCTTCCACTAACTTATCACATATGGACTCCTTGAGAATTTTGAGGATTTTTCTTGGGATTGAGGTCAGGCTGATCAGCCTGTAGTTCCCTGGGTCTTCTCTCCTCCCCTTCTTGAAGATAGGCACAACATTGGTCCTTTTCCAGTCTTCTGGGACCTCTCCTGAGCACCACGAATTCTCAGAGAGTTTTGCCAGTGGGCCTGTGATCACTTCAGCTAGTTCTTTCAGCACTCTCAGATGGAGTTCATGTGATCCTGCTGACTTATAGCTATCCAGCCTCTATAGCTGTTCTTTCACCAGCTCAACACTGACTGTTGGTGGGTGATCATCCCTACTGTGACTATTTTGTGTCATATTTGCATTCAGCAGGCTACCACTCTTAGATTGATGGAATACTGATGCAAAGTACTTGTTCAGGAGTTGTTTTCTCCTTTGTGTCAATGATCAGATATCCAGATGCATTAAGCAGTGGCCCCACGTTTCCACTGGTTTTCCTTCTTTTACCTACATACAGAAGGCCTTCTTATTGTCCTTGATTTCAGTTGCTAACCTGAATTTGGGCACTGCCTTTGCTTTTCTAATCTGCCCCCTACAGGTGTGGGCCAATGGTATGTAGTTCTCCTTGGGGCCAATTCCTAGCTTCCATCATTCGTAAGCCTCCCTTTTCTTTTTCAGAAGATCTGTGACTTCCCTATTGAGCCAAGATGGCCTTCCGGCCCCTGTGCCACCTTTTTTGCATACAGGTTTGGACAACTTCTGTGCACCGAGGATCGTGTCGCTGGCTTGCATCCATAGATGCTTCTCAAGCAAATCCCAGGACGTCATTGTCCCATTGTACTCAGCCTTGGTGAGGCTGCAGCTGGAGTATTGCATTCAGTTTTGGGCTCCACAATTCAAAAAGGATGTGGAGAAGCTTGAGAGAGTGCAGAGGAGAGCCATGCACATGATCAGAGGTCAGAAAAACAGACCTTACGATGACAGGCTGAGAGCTGTGAGACTCTTCAGCCTGGAAAAGTGCAGGTTCAGGGGTGATCTGATGGCCACCTATAAGTTTATCAGGGGTGTTCACCAGGATCTGGGGGAATGTCTGTTCACCAGAGCACCCCAAGGGATGACAAGATCGAATGGTCACAAACTCCACTGCGACCAATTCAGGCTGGACATAAGGAAGAGCTTCTTCACTGTCCGAGCCCCCAAGGTTTGGAATAGACTGCCGCCGGAGGTGGTTCAAGCACTCACTTTGAACGCCTTCAAGACACATTTGGATGTTTATCTTGCTGGGATCCTATGATCCCTGCTGACTTCCTGCCCCTGGGGCAGGGGGCTGGACTCGATGATCCTTCAGTGCTCCTTCCAGCCCAAATGTCTATGAAATCTATGAAATCTATGAAGAATTTGTACCTTACTGACAGATTTCCCAGCCCTACTATGGACGGTGAAAGTGATAGTGTCATGGTCACTGTTACCTAGGTTACCCTCTATCCTCAGATCACTCACCAGGTCATCTCCCTTGGCCAAAACTAAATTTAGGAGCACATTTCCTCTGATCAGCCTGAGTACATCCTGAGACAGGTAGAGCTCATTGATACAAGGAATATATGCAACCAGTCAGATCTGGCTGAGGGCTCTTCCCAGGAGATGTCTGGGTAGTTTAAAATTACTCATGTCAACCATGTCTTGTGCTCTTGCAGCCTCTTCCAGTTCTCTGGAGAATTCCAGATCTAGCTCCTCAACTTGATTCGGAGGTCTGTAATATATTCCTACAGTTAGCTCCCTTTTGCTGCATTCCCGCCCCCCCATATCTTGACCCAGAGGGTCTCAAGTCACCCTTCCTTAGTACCAATTTTGGCTTCCAAGGAGGTGTACTGCTCCTTTACATATAGAACTACACCTCCACATTTTTTCCCTATGCAATCCCTTCTATGCAGGGTGTAGCCCTTTATGGCTATGGTCCAATTGTGGGTAGAGTCCTACCAGGTCTCTGTTATCCCTGTGATTGGCAAGGTTAGGCAGTTCATCCATTCAGCTGTTTGGTATTCCAAGTCCCATGTACAGGAAGCTAAGACAGAAGCTAAATTCTTACACTAAGCCAGTGATTTGCAACCTTGTTAGACTTAAAGCCCTCTTAGCTTTCACCTATTTTCTTGATCACATACAAATAATAGAGCAATTCTTCTGTTGGAAATCACTTAGAAAGCTCACAAAAGGTCAGAATGTTTTTACACTATGGATTCATATTTGAAATCTTTTGAATTAATCTTATAAAGTTTCTGAAATCTCTGTGTTTATCTTGGTCAGGAGTTGTTTATCTTGTGAATCATAGATAGGTGTTTGCCCATCTAACCATACTATTACACAGCACACTACAGCACCTTTAAGGGATCTCACAGAACCCCAAGGTGCAATGACACCCTAGTTGAGGATCATTGCCCTAAGCAGCAGAGAGCTAAAAGTTAGGGTATTCAGTGCCAAAGTCCCTTTGGACATACCCCTAAGTGACTTGCCCAAGATCATGTAGGAAGACTGTTACAAAACAAAGAACTTAGGTATCACAGATCCAAGATTAATGCTCTGTTCACTAAACCATCCTTCCCTTTTCACTAAGGTCTAGATTTCTTATACAGTGGATTATCATTTGGAGACCTAATCCTGCTCCACTGTTTGAAAGGACAAATACTAGTAGTAAGGTAGACACACCATATTTGGATGGGTTTCTTGGCCTTTCCAATTAAAATGTTCTATATATGTACTATGAGCTTATACTCAAAGCCCTTGGAAAATGCCACTTCTTTTAGTTTCACTTCACTTGTCTTTTGACTACAGAAAAATAATAGAGTAATTCTTGACTATTATGCATGATAAAGCAAATCAATAATATAACACAAGGAGGGAAAAAGTACTGGCACTCTAACAGGGTCCGGTTATTTGTAGTTACAGAATTTATCAGTCTGGATTAAGTGTAGATTTTTTGTTCATGTTATTAAACTGCATTTTTCTTTCTTAAGTCTTTGGCAGATGACATTCAGAGTCAAGAAGCTCTGACTTTACATCTTTCCAGTCAGGAAGACTATATATCACCCAGTAATTTCAACAGACACTTACTAGACAAACCCCCGCAAGAGCACATGCTAAGTACCAGTTTGTCTCTTGCAAAAAACTATGGCTTTGGAAGCTCCCCATATCTTACCGAGCACACACAGGTTACAAGATCTAACACACTCTATGACAAGTACAAAGACATTGGCAGTGGAGGATGTGATACTGGAAGCCAATCTAGACCTTCTGTCTGTAATGCATATGTTGGCTATGAAGAGCCACAAAGTTGGAATAAAAACAGAGTTTTGGGAAGAAATCCATGCAATGAAAAATGCTGCAATGACTCTGCTTTGCCTTTGACTGATTTGCATCGTGAAATCCTTTCTTCTCAAAACTGTATTGAATCCACTCTACAGCATGTTCCTACTGTACCAAATACAACAAAGGCTGGCTACTACCCCTTCAGGCCTAATATAGGCCTATGTGGAGAGGATTTTTATGAAGGAAAATCACACATGAACTATAACAGCAGCTACATCCCTCCCTCCTTGTACCATCTCTCCCAAGAGGATCCTTACCTTGTTATGAACACTGTACATCAGCATTCACTGCCCATGAAAGGAACTGAATGGGACTCTGAAGAAGAGCAAAAGTACCCCAGTCTGGATTACTGCAACAATGAAATGTTTTTTAATCTCTGTCCTTTGAGATGATCATATTTGAGTTTCCTTCCTTCCCTCCGGGGCTGGATTCTGTACTCCCTGTTCTAATTTGGATAGCATTTTACCTTCACTTTGTGCCCCCTCTGCATTGGTATATTGCAGGAAGTGGGATGAAGGGGTACAGCTCCCTTGTACATCTTTGTACACCAGGGCAGGGGAACCAAAACATAGTTCAGTTTATCCCCTACTCCACTGGGGGACAATCTCTTGGGCAGACATGCCACAAATTTGCCTCACATCTCTAAGTGCTGTTCCAATCCCCTTCCCCTGCCAAAGCAGATTTCTGCCCCTGTCCTGTGACACTCCAATCCCCTTCCCCTGCTTTCTGTCTCTGCCCTGTGATCCCTGCCTGATCTTTGCTTTCTTCTTCCTGCCCACTCAACTGCCCTGTTTTCTGCTCCCTGTCCTCTCCCAAGTCTGCTGTGTGCCACACCCAAAGGCTGCCCAAGCCATATGTGGCACACAGGTTGGCCACCCCTGCCCTACTTCACCCCTGTGGGTATGTTACCTACCCAATTTATGGACATTTCCATGCAGCTTGTCTTACTGATTCCTCCTATTGCTTTTAAGCTACTCTTTCTGTCATTTAAGGCTCTAGCAAGCCCTTTAGTACATCTTTCCCCTATTCCATCCCCTCCCCTGTTCAAACACCCCAGAACTTAGGGGTCTAAACACAGACTTCATCATTTCAACCCATCTCCCCTCCCTATTCTAAACAAGCAATTCCCCAAATGATATGTTGTAGTGTGACATGCAGTAAAGATTTTATTGGCATGAGTCAGGGAGGAGAGTATTACAAAACAAATGGTAATAAAAACTTAATAGTACCCCACTCCATGACATATTTGGTGTCTGTCAAACAGGTTCAGTCTGATCATTTGTTTTTTATTTGCTTGACTTCATCTCTTTAGATTGCCACTGCCTTTTCCACTTTTAAATACTTTAGTTACTATGGAAACAATCCTGTCATAAGGGTGGAGTTTAGAGACATTTACAAGAGCAGGATAATATATACTTACAGAATGTTTCAAAATTTATGCTACAGTTTGGAAACATAAGGATCCATAGTGGTTTTTTATGATGTATATTTGGTATGCGCCTACATATACTTCATATTGTAGCAGTCACCTCTCTCATTGTAGACTAACGCAGAAAGCTTCCCTCCAGTCCATAACAACTACCATCCTAATATACCAGTGTACTTTTTATTTTGATTTTTCATCAGAGCTAGAAATATGAAATTTTCTAGGCTAAGTTTAATTAAAGATCGTGTCACACAGCCTGCAGATCTGCAGGCTTCTAGTATCAAGTAGTCCACTCAACATTTTCTGTACTAAATTTTCCTGTATTTAAACAGTATGATCAGCACATTGAAACAGGACACGGCCAGGTTCCTAATGATCTGGTTCACTGTATGGCACACTGCATTGGGACTTTTGCAAAATTCCATTTATTAGTGATATATTCTCTGAAAAAGTATATAGATATTGTTAAATTAGAATCATCATATTTACATTATATAGTCTAATTCTAAATTCTTGGCAATGAACGCTGAGGTAGTTCAGTTAAATTTAAAATTGCCCACATGGCTGAGGATCCAGGGTGAAAAAGTACACACAGTTGAGGAGCAGAGGGGTTGTCCTTTAACTGGAACACAAGAGACTACATCACACAGGCAGACAGACAGGACAATGCTTACATTTTTCTGAAGATAATCTGTAGACAGAGAAGCATCATGAAGATACTTGTTGGGGTTACATTCACCTGAGAAGGTCATGGCATAAATCCTTTATAACCTTATTGAAGGTGGCAGAAAATTGTTTTAAGATTCATAGTAGAGTTAGAAGGCTATTATTAGTAAACGAAAGAAGCAGAGATGCAGTGCAGTTAGAGACAGAAACATTTCTCATGGGCTAAATGCTCCATGGATCAAAGTACTGAGGTATTGAACTGCTTTCTAAGCTTTATTGAACATGCCTATACTGCACGGTTCCTTTTCTTGTGCTACATGCTCTGTGCCTTTTCCTCACGCTCATAAGTCTCTCTGTTGCCATAGCAAATTGTCTTGTGTGTAATTAAACTGTGTCTTACAGCTGCACAAATGTTTCACAACTTTTAGTTTATACAGCATTTAAAGGGGAGACTCTCACAACCTAGTTCTCTACCTATTTTAGGTATAACAGGGCACTCCTACACATGCACTTTACTGCACAGTAGGCACTTGCTGTGCAATAAAGCATCACCATCTATCCATGCGCATCAATTAGGCCAGTGTAGACCAATTTACTGCACTGTCTGACAGTCCCATCAGACACAAGTACTATCCAACAGTGGAGTAAATTACTGCACATAAGTGCATGTGTAGACAGTGATGGATTAGTTTACTCTGACTCAAATTGCACCAGAATTTATTCAGTCACATTAATTACATGTGTAGATACACCCACAGAGTCACCATTAACATAGTAACTGAAGACCTCACAGTTTTAATATGTACGCTCATGCTGGGTAGGGGAGTGCTTTTATCCTCATTTTACAAATTAGGAATTACAAGACCACAAAATGGTTTGCTAAATGTGTTCCAGAACTCCTGTGGCAGAACAAGGACATGACACCAGGCCTTCAATGTTCTCCAACCAAGAAATACTCCAACCGCTTTCCTTCTTCCTTCCATCCTTCCTTTCAACCTAGACCCTACTCTTGCATCTGAGAATGATTTGGTTTAATCAAGTGTTCCAATTTCTACATACTATTTTCTGCTTTTGCAAAGTAGAAATGCACTTTAATCTGAATACAGAATTATAAGATGATTTTGAAATGGTGTTGCTAAATGTGGTCCTTAATTCTTAAAAAAAATAGTTTGCATCCTGCTTGTGATGTAGACCATTTGTGAAAAAAGTCCAACAACTGCAGGACATGACTCCTTTAACGTAGACAAATGCAGGGTGCTGCACCTTGAGAGAAGAGATCCATAGCATACATACAGGCTGGGGAGTTCCCTTCTTGAAAGCACAGAGGCGGAAAGGGATCTTGGAGTCACTATTGACTCCAAGATGAACATGAGCCACCAATGCCAGACCGCAGCCAGCAAGGCCACCCATACCTTGTCATGCATCCAAAGATGCATCTCAAGCTGGTCCCCCCTATGCGACATTGGCCAGGTTGCAGTTGAAGTACTGCATCCAGTACTGGGCACCGCACTTTAAAAAGGATGTGGCCAGCCTGGAGAGGGTTCAGAGGAGGGCCACCCATTTGGTGGGAGGGCAGCAGGACAGGCTGTATGAGGAGAGACTGAGGGACCTGAACCTGTTCAGCCTCGGCAAGAGGAGGCTGAGGGGGGACCTGGTGGCTGCCTACAAATTCATCAGGGAGATCATCAGCAAATAGGAAGAGCCCTATTCTCCCCAGCACCACCTGGGGTGAAAAGGAACAATGGTAATAAACTGATGGAGAATAGGTTTAGATTAGAGATCAGAAGGCAATATTTTACAGTTAGGGTGGCCAGAATCTGGAACCAACTTCCCAGGGAAGTGGTCCTCGCCCCTACCTTGGGCAACTTAAAAAAGAGGTTAGATCACCTGTCTGGGGTCTTGTGAACCCAGCATTCATTCTTGCCTGTGGCAGGGGGTCAGGCTAGATGATCTGATCAGGTCCCTCCTGACCCTAGCTACTATGATACTATGACTCCAAATAGCTCTATCAGAGTAATTTACATATCACAAGGTTTGAATACCTTGTTATTTCCACTCATCCTAGATCTCTCTGGAAATTGTGCTCTGCTGCTAGTTTAAGTGATGGTTTGGCTTTAAGGGAATTGCACATAGTGGATTAAGGTGGGACTATTTAATGCATTTCCCTTGTGACTGCAAGCAAACTCTAAAAAGCCCTCTTCCCTTTCCTCCTTCCCCACACCCCTGCCCCCTCCTTTTCTCCATTGGACTTGATAATGGCTAAGAAAGGAATGACAGGCAAAGGAGTTTCTTTGTGGTATGTTTAATTGGACAAACTGTATGGTTGGGAAAGATGTTGGACAAGCTCTGAGGCACATCTGAATGCCCTTATTCAGATCCATCTTTCCTTGGGTGGGAGGCATGGGTGGAACTAGGGTTTTGAAAAGCGGGATGTAGATGGTGTGGCACATCATTACTTATAACACAAAACCTATTTTTCTACAGGTAAAAAGAAACTAGAAGCTTTATTAATATGCCACGGGCCCAGGGCTATATGATTCATCTTAAGATCAAAGCAAAAACAAATACAGTTTTATGGAATGCATTTAAAAACAGTCTGCAGGGCTGTGAAATAGGAGCTACATTACTAGGAGCAGCTAACAGATAGCTAGATTGTTTAGTGGAACATCAGGACCACTGAAAGGAGAAAGGGGCATTAACACCTGTGGAATGAAGGAATCAGTTAGAATTTAATGAGTCATGAACTCGACTTAGCTGCCTGAACAGAAATGCTACTGCCACTTCCAGGCAGTTGGTTTTAACACTGGGTGGAGCAGGAATCAAATCGGGGTGCAACTGCACCAGTGCACCCTCTCCACCCCCAGATCTGCCCCCGATGGGAGTGTAGTGATTACAATGTGAGATTTTGAGTGAGGTGAGAAAAAATTGGGGTGGAAGGCGGCAGAGTGTTTTAAAGCATAAAGGGCTGGAAAGTCTGACAAACTTCTCTGATGGAACTAGGTGTGCTAATTATTTGATACAAAACAGCATAGGGGTAGGTTTTAAGAGCACTATAAATGATTAGGAATTACCGTAAGAGGTACTCAGCCCTTTGGCCTAACACCTATCTCAGGATTCCTAGAACTGGTGTAGTTTCCAAATATAATGGGTCTTCTCCTTTTTTTAGAAAAACACAATGCAACAAAGCAATCAGGTGAGATTCAACATTAAGTGCCTTTGTTCTAGTTGGTTAAGAAGCCAATAGCAGACTACTTGGTATCTTTGTGTAACCGTGCGTCACATTCATGTTGACAAATCTTTCAAAGATATTACTTAACACAAATGCCTATCATTTACTTTAGACACAGGCGAAGCCAAAAAATGTCCTAAAGCTACATTGAATTTTAGTGCATGAGGGCTTTCATTCTTCCTTCATTGTTATTAGTAAGGGAGAAAAATAAGGTCTGTATGCAGAAGGGTTTGTTTCAGTGGAATCTGTTTTTCATTTCTCAAAACCAGTTATACCAAGATCTGAGTTTGCAGTTATTTACATTACTTGATAATTGTATCAAAAGGGACACATTTCTAAGTCTGCTGTGACTGATATTCACCCAATGTACTTGTGTCTCTGGAGACAACTAGTCATAAATAAAATTAACATTGACACCAGAAGTTTGCATTTGCTGTTCCTGACTTTTTGTGTTTGATGGGAACTGTTAGATAAGGGTCTGATCTACAAGGCACTAAACAACTCTCTATACACTTGGAAGGAAACTTTGTGCTGCTTCTTTTGAGAAAAGTGTGTCAAATCCCCAAAAAATAGATTGTGCCTGAAAGCTGTGCAGTCAACTATCAAGCTTGTGTTAATCTACAAGGAAAAGAAAAGAAAGTTCTATGCATAGCATTAAGAAAAGATCAAATATTTCTCTCATCGATATTACAAATTATTGATTAGTCAGATCACATGTTTATATACTATTGAGGTAGTCCACAGACCCATTTACTAATGAGAACCAGCTGCTTTGCATGAACAAATGTGTCTTAACAAATGCCTGTACAGCACAGTCAGGAGCGTAACTGTGAAGGAGGGTAAAGCTGGAGTCCAGGTAATCATCATCTATGGGTCTGTGGTCTCTTGAGAAACTGCTGAGAGCAATA